TATGCAGAATTACTAACATAAAAACACCAGTGACAACACCAGGAGGTGGTGAGAATGTAGGGAGACCAGCACATTCACACGTAGCGGGTAGGAATGTAAAATGGTGTGGCCACTCTGGAGAAGTTTGGCAGTTTCTTATACAACTAAAATTGCTTAGTTCCCACATGACCTGGCAGTGGCTCTCTGGTATTATCCCAGAGAAATGAAAACTTACATTCATAGAAAACACTTCTACGTGAATGTTCATAGGAGCTGATTTGTAATAGCACCAACTTGAAACAACAATATACTTTAACAGGTGAATTGTTCAACAAGCTGGTATATCCATATCATGGAATATTAGTTAGCAATGAAGAGGACCAAACTATTCGTAAATATAACAATTTGGATGGATCTCCAGAGAAACATGCTGAGTGAAAAAAAAAAGCCGTCCCACAGGTCATATACTGTATGACTACACAGCATTTATGTAACATTTGTGGGATAACAACATTATAGAAATGGAGAACAGAGTCATAGTTGCCAGGGGTTAGGGATGGGGCGGAGGCAGGAGATGAGTGGATGCAGTTAAAAATGGGCAGCAGAGGGCATCTGTGTGGTGATGGGATTGTTCTGTCCCTTGACTTTGCTGGTTCTACACCTGAGATACAACGGTGTAGAGATGGATGTGGTGATGGCTACACAACATGAAGGTATTTAATATTACTGAACTTTATGTTAAGAATGGTTAAAATGGTGAATTTTGTTATGTGTCTTTTACCACAATTTTTTAAAAAAGGGAATAGGAATGTATTTCAGAAGTATTGAGAGATTAGTAGACCTATATATTTGTGCTTACCAAGCAACCTATTTTTTTTTTTAAATTTCCAATCTGTCATGTAACAATATGTGTTCCTACTGTGTTATGATCACTGTGTGGTTCTGGCCACACGTGACACATGAGTTCAAAAACATCTCAACTGGTCTGTATACTGCTCAGAGTGAGAAGTCCACCCCCCATGATCTTGAATATTGGAGTGATATTCAGACACTCTCCGTGTCTGTAATAGTTTTCTTATCACAGTCTGGTAACAAAGGGTCGCATGAACCACATTTGGCCAATTGTCTGAATCAAAGCTTAGATGTATAGCCCTGTGAGAGCTTCATAGAGAGATAGTTCAGAATACCATATTTTTCTGTGTATAAAATGCTATTTTTTCTAAAATCATTAGACTGAAAATCGAGGGGCGTCTTATACATGGAAGTCAGCCAAGGAGGGAGCCTCATGGGTGTGTAGCTGCCCATACCTTGTCAAACAGGCTTCCTCCAGTCACGAGCCTTATTGTTACTGACATCAGCTAATGCAATTGGAGGTGGAAGTGGAGAGTGCACAGATGCAACAGGGCCTGGAGCATTCTGAGCCCATAAAGATGTCAAAAATGAAAAGATAAATACTGGTAAGCGATTGTCTTACTCTGCAAAATTCACACTGAATGTAATCAGCTATGCAAAAGAACATGGAAATAGAGCGGCAGAGAGACAATTTGGACCTCCTCCCACTGAGTGTGTGATCAGACAGTGGAGAAAACAGGAAGAACAACCCCCTAAGATGCCAAAGGAGAAGAAGGCTTAAGAGGAAAACCAGCAAAATGTTTAAAATATTGATTTCTTAATTTTGGGTTGGAAAAGTGGGGTTTGTCTTATACATAGAAAAATATGGTAATTCCTCCAGGGTGGTGTAGTTTGTGGGTTCAGGAGCTAACACCAGGGCGCTCCCCTGCTGTTGTGGATATGGGTCTTTTTTGGCTCTCTATACTCTCATTTTCCCCTGAGCTTATGAAGGGGCTCTCATGCTGGACTTGAAAATGGCAACACGTGGCTTCTCAGATTCCTTTGCAGGTGGGCTCTGGGCCTTACCTTCATTCTATTCCTTAGGTGTATCTGCCCCAGAATCGCTGGGAGGTTGGGTGTGTGAGGGACGCTCTGCTGCAGCGATTGCAAGGTCTGGGCCAGGGGCTGCATGACTGCAGGGCTCGTGGTGGTGTCCAGCAGTCAGTGACAGCTGGGTTTGTGCTCAGTGTCTGGTATTCGGCAGCTGAGGCAACAGTGTGTACATCAGCATTTGCATCAAAACTTTGTGCATCGTTCTGGGCTTTTTCCCTCATCCTGGCTTCCCAGCCTCCTGTTCACTACGTTCAAGGCAGATGTAGGAAAGTATAAAGAAGAACAGTGATTTCATTAGTCACACCATTACCAGAAAATAGCATTTTAGTGAGTTTCTTTTATATAGGTTTTTTTTTTTCTATGTAAAAACTTTTTTTTTTTTAACAAACATGTTATTTTACATTCTGCTTCTCCCCTCCCCCTATGCATTCTACTATTTCCATTTAGTGGCATTTGTACGCAAAGGTGATTTTAAATATTTGTATGTCTTAAATGTACCAACAATCTGTAATTGTTTATTAACTTGGACAATTTAATTTTAAGTAGGCATTTGTTATTATATAATTTATTATTTACTTTTGTATATAATGTTATTTTTATATACAAATATCAACTAAAGATAACCCATAATCTCACCAGTCAGATAATCTCAGTTGGTTGGCATTAAAAATTAATAAAACCCACATGGTTAGAAAATTCAAGCCGAAAACCACAGAGGTGCAAAACAATGAGAAACAGAAGCTTCCTTATACCTCTGCACCCTAGATCCTTTCCCCCAAAGTTAAGCACTGTAATATTTCTTGTGTTTTTTTCCCCCAGAAAATGTTTTAATTCCTGTAGCTACATAACTGTGTGTACTTAAAGATTTATTATTACTTTTTTTACACAGAGACGGTATTTTCCACACTGTTCTGCACTGTGTGCTTCTCTATTAAGATCATTCTTGGAGTCTTTGTGCATCATTGCTTATAGTGGTGCGTCCTTAGCTCTACAAATTCCGCATCTGTTACTCAGTATGGCCTGTGATAACATCGGCTCTTCTGTGGGTTCTTAAATGTGAGATGAGTAGATATGTCAGTTGTATGTCCCAGGTCTCACCAGCCCACATTTCTTCAACTCTTACCTCCCACCTGCATACTGGTAGGACCTCTAACCCTCAACCTCCTTTGTTTTTCTGGTAACTTAGGGGAGGCCCCAGGGTTCCCACAGAGGCTCCCAGCTAGACTCCATTAGCCTGTATTTCCAATGCTCAAAGCCCCTTGCAATCTGTGCCTACCACTGCTCCAGGGCTGATGTCCTGAGAAAAGGTCCTCTCCCCCCTGTCCGGGCACTGTCTTCCAGGTTGGACAAGGTGTGTCTAATCGGTTTGCTCAGAACCACCATGGGTTTGCACATGCATATTTACACAAATGTATCTGTGTGTGGGGGGGGTGTACTCCAAACAATAACATGCACTGTGTGAAGTGTCAGGCCTCTCGGTTGCTGGCTTCTTCTACATAACAACCATCAGGTGGACATGTAACCATCCATATTCTTGCTCACTCAGACATTTGCTTATGATGTATAACTTTGAGCACTTGTCTGGAATGGAGGAAGCCTCTGTTTTGACTGCAGATGATTATGCCTTTTTCCTGTTTTCCATGTAGGGACAGTGAATTCTCACAGTGGTGGCTGGGTAGGAACACATTGCATTCTGATGAAGGAAAAGCTTAATTATTTGATCTATAACCTGAGTTTCCAGGATATGTGTCTCAAGGCATAAAACATGTCTGACTAAAGATACATTGGCAAATGGAAAAAAAAGAAGGAAAGTAGGAAAGAAGGGAGAAAGGAAGGTAGGAAGGAGGGAAAGGAGAATGGAAGGAGACAAAGTCCATCTCTGCTCGCCCACTACCCTTGTAACCATTGGAAAAGTTTGCCAAGTCTCACCCTGCAGGTTGAGGGTCAGCAGCATCACTGTCTTCGTTCTCAGCACTATTTTGACGCTGCTACTGCTGCCATCTCTGCTGTCACCCTCTCCGCCTCCTTATTGCTGCTACGACGGTCATTATGTGTAGTGCCATTCCAGATTCGTGCTAAATGGATCAAGTAATCCAAAAATTTGTTTGAGTCACACATTGTGAAACATGCCTTTGGAATGATTTCCCGAGAAAGCCTGGGTGCAGAATACAAATATTTTGAATGGACTTATCTTACAGTTGTACTGCTATTTTTCCTTGTCATTTTAAAACCCTTAATACGAATAAATTGTTTGTACAGTGCAGCTTTTTTTAAATCCTTAGATAAGAAATACGTGGTTTGAAAGCAGAGAATAAAAACATGAATGATAATGTTCCCAATGCCCGCTGCAAGGTCCTGGCTGCCGCTCCCGGGCAGGCGTTATAGTCGGCTATTCGGCGTGTTTATTTCAGGCTGCAGATAGTGGATGAAAGTGCCTGGTAGGTTGCCAGCACATGACTTAGTTGCCAAATGGAGTGTTTAGTACTTGTTACATTTGATTTATATCACAAGTTCTTCCCATTAACAGTCTACTGGTGATAACCTACTTGGCTTTTCATGTGGTTTCTTTGAAACAGCCACTTGACAACATTTGGCATATCACAAGGTTTAATACTGAATACAGGAGTGAGTGAATGACTACATGGGTTCTGCTATACACTGATACGCTGCTTGGTGCAGACTGGGTACCCGTTCTGTGCACTGAGTGAATAAATCCTGTATGTGTGTTTCTCTGATTCTCTGCACCATGGTGAGGTCTCTGGATGGGAGACTTAAAGGGCTGGTGGAGGGGGTAGAAACAGATAGAAATAATAGTGCTTACATGTCTGGAGGGCTTGCATTTGTATGGAGGCTGGTATTCTGCTCATCAGTATCACACTTTAAATGCAGGCTTGAATTATGCGGGAGAAGGTAGGCCTCATCCTAACAGCATTCATTCTAAGTCAGAGTGTAACCTCCTAATGCGGTCAATTTCCGTGATCTCAAGTCTATTTTTTTTTAAAACAAGTTCACTTCAGGATTCTTGGCCCTGGATGTGTAATAACACGTGCATTAAATATGGTGATCTTTATTTTCAGATTGAAAACTTGCAAGAACAACTTAGGGATAAAGACAAGCAACTGACCAATCTGAAGGACAGAGTGAAGTCCTTGCAGACAGATTCCAGTAACACCGACACTGCCCTGGCGACACTCGAGGAGGCCTTGTCAGAGAAGGTGAGCTTGGACTAAACAGTGGGTATCAGGATTCAGGGAAATGTGGTTGGGAGGAGATGTTGCAAATGCATTTAAATGTACCCTCTTTTCTCCACGCACTCACACTGCCCCCAGGCCCTGCTGGGCCGCCCACTCCCATGCTAGCCCTCGTCAGTAGACTTGGCTCACTGAAGCCAAGGGTGTCTTTTGGAAATGCAAACCTGAGCACCTCACCTTTGGCCCTGCTTGTCCTTGTTCTTGGATGATAAAAAGTAAAACCCTTCACCTGGTCCATAGGGTCCATCCCTCCATCTGATCTGGCTCTTAACTGTCTGTCTTACTCCTTTCTCTTCCTCTCCCTCTCCCTTTCTCCCTATTATTATCCCCCACTTCCTTCGTTCTTTTCTCTCTTCCTTCTTTCCGCCCTTTCCAGCCTCACCCCCTATCTCTCCTCCCTTTTTCCCTGTGTGTTAGCTATACTGGCCTTCTCGATTTTCAAGTGCACCATGCTCCCTCCTGCCTCGGACCCTTTGCACAGGCCGTCACTGATCCTAGCATGTTCTTTACTCTCTGCAGACTTGATTCCTTTTCTTCTGAAAGCGCAGTTTCCTGAGGAGCTGTATCACATAGTAGTTAAGAATGTGGACATTGGAGTCAGACTGCCTGGCTTCAAATCCTAGGTGTGCCATTTATACTTTGGACAAGTTACTTCACCTTTCACTTCCTCAGTTTCTTTCTCCGTTCTTGTTTAGAACGATAGGGATAATACATTACAGCTGTTGTTGTTACTATTTTACTACTTACTTTCTCAGGGAAGCCTCCTTGGTAAAATCCTTCACTGTGTTCTCATGAATAGCGTGAACTTCCCAGAGCTCATGCCACAATCTTAATTGTGCTTTTATCTATGTCTGTGTGATTAATCGGTCTTCTCTGCTAGACTCCAAGCCCAAGAAGTGCACCCATATTTGGGTGTTATTTATGTGTGTTAGCTCGCCTTCCGCCTGCCTAGTATAATAATATGTGCACGGGGGAGTGCTCAGCGGAGTTGGATTGAGTGAGACCCCGCCAGACGACAGGCATTGCTGTGGGCAGTGGAGTTGCTGCAGAGAATATGGGTGAAAATCCTGGCTTTCCTGGAGGTTAGATTCTAATGAGGGTGAAAGAGAGACAGACAATAAATTAATAAGTAAATATATAGGATTGCAGAGGTCAAGTAACTCTCTCTCCCAGGTCCTCAAATTTCCCATTTGTGGGATGGGGAAATTCGATTAAATGGCCCCAGGTTCTGTAAACCAGTGTATCTTAAAGAAGTCTTCTTTGACTTCTACTTCAGAATTACCAGGAGGTGCATGTTGAAAATCTAAGTTATTAGGCACCACCTATGCCAACTGAATCGGAACCTGGAGTAGGGCCTGGGAGTCTGCACTTTAGCCAGCACCCAGGTCATCTTTATGTTCACTAGTCTGAGAGCCACTGATCTATGTTAGAAATACAGGGGCTAAACAACGTAGTCAGATTCTATGGCTAGATAGCTTTCGTGTTCCTTATTAAAATGATAAGATTATAACTTTAGGTTAAGTTATAAGATAGAAGATTTTATTTGAAGACTTTAAAGAAGAGTAAATATAATGGTTTTTCAGGGAAAGATATTCTTCTATTTCTAGCTTTGAGATTGTATTGCCAAAGCTCTCTGTAGTAGTTTTGTTTGTAAAATCTGAATGAGGGAATGCTGGTTCAAAACTATTAGTGATTATGTCTCCCTTTTGCAGTTTTTGAGCGATAGGATGTCAGCCTACTTGTTTTCTTTCTCCCAATTTACAGAAGTAAACATATACCATATAATTTTCCATGTCATGAATTCTTGGCAGGATTTTATCATTTTTTTTCCCCCGGCCCTATTAAGATTTGATTTATTCTAGTTTAAATCCCAAAGAATTCCCAAATCTGAAACTACTCCCTTCCTTAAGCACTTCCTTTGAGGCCGAGGGGATGACTGGGAAGGAAGCTGAGGTCTGTGGGAGTCTGGCCCCTCAAGCTGCCTCCACTACCTGATAATAGCACCGAGAGGGGCTACCTTCTTCTGTGTCTGCTAGTACTGTATTTTCAAAATGCACGTCTAAATGAGCTGATCACTAAGTTCCGGTCCCTTTGGGGAACTGCCTGGACTGTAATTGTTCAGTTTGCTGGGCCTCAGTCTCAGGCACATGAAAGCTGAATTGCACCATAGATGAGGAGTTGAGAGCTCAGATGTCTCAGAGGGCCTGGCAGGGAACAAAAATGAGGGAAGTGGGTTTGGTGTGATACAGTAGGGACTGTTGGTAACTGTGGTGAGCTGGAGAGTCCTTGACCTGTCTCATAGCATTCACGTTCAGATTTTTAAAAATTACAATGCTCAAGCCAAACCAAATAGCTCTGTGGGCTAGCTTTGACCTGTGAGCTGTTAGCTTGCAAACGCTATTTGCATTGACTCTTTTGCCTTTCACAGTAATGAAGAATAAAAGCAAACAGAGAGATTTATTTGAAGGGAATTTTCAAATGGTGCCACAACCACAATGCTAGCATATTTGAAAAGCACAGACAAAAACACTGAATAGGAAATGGTAAGGTCCTCTATCATGGGGCAAAGAATAGATTTAAGTATTTATCCCAATGGGTGTCAAACTTCGGTGTGCATCCAAATAATCTTATCAATTAGGAGCTTCTTAAAAAAATAGTTTCCAGGGTTCCATTTCCTGGCGATTCTGATTTAATTGCTCTGCTGTGGGGCCGGGAACTGGTGATTTTTAACAAACACACACAGTGATTCTGATGCATGTGGTCAGTAACCACACTTTGAGAAACACTAAATCTATGTTCTTCCATTGTAAGATGGGCAGAGGGCTCAGTGAGGGAAAATGACTTGACCCAGAAATTAAAAATTTGGTGCATGTGCAGCATCATTGGCCATTTCTGAGCCCTGGGCAGACATCATTAATCAACTGTGGCACAAGCTAACTCCTGAGCCAGCACTCCAGGAAGTCCCTTAGATTCTCAGCTGGCCCATGGTTGGGACTTTGTTGCCTACCCCATGTTAGGATCCTAAGGCCACTCAGCTCACAGGTGATGACATAGGACTTTTGACATCAAAAGCACAAATATCAGAATGGTTGAGATTAAGTCCTATTTCATCACTTGTGAGCTGAGTGGCCTTAGGATCCTAACATGTCCTTAATGGCCTTTCCCTCATGAGTTCTAATTTTATCCACACAGAATTGAATTGATCCACACAGTGCAAAAAATAAAAGGATTAATTAAAAATTTTAGAGTCGTAAGAACATTGAATTATTCGCTGTCTTTTGGCCATTGAATAGAACCCGGTAGGCATTATTCACCATTCCGCTTGGATTATTACATCCCAGGGAGTGTGTGATTCCTTTTCATTTCTAGGAACTTACTCAAACATTCGGAGCGTGAAAAAAATAATGCCACTTAGCAAGTTAAGATTGAGTATGACTTAGTCCGAGGATTGACACACAGAAGCTCAGCAGACAGAACCCCTGGTGTTTGTAAAGTGGTCTCCCAAGCCTTGCTGTGGCCACATGGTAGATAAGCAGCGGAGAAAAGCAGATAGCAGGGCCGGAGGCCACTGCAGTTCAGTTCCACCCAGTGATAAAGCACAAATAGATTAGACCGTGCAGAGCCAGAGGAGTGCACCAGGAACACTTGCCAATGCAAATAAGACTAAAACAAGAACACATTGTTGGAATTTCTACAAGTTAGCTGTTAATCAAGTAGATCGTGGCATATTAGGGCTTTTTAACACATGTTTTTGACATCTGGCCCTGTGCGGCTGACAGTTAAATTAGTTTTGTGATTGACGGAGAAATATTTTGGAGTATTGAATCATCAATAACACTTAAAAACGTTATACTGCTTGCTGATTTTTTTTGTCATCAATGCCCAGTCAATAGTACAAGTGCTTAGAGCAAATCAACCTGCTCTCCAAATGACTCGGACACCTTCCGGATGTTAACACACATACTTCGTTTTATTTCCCTTCCTTTGAAGACAAGATGATCCCTCATTTGAGTCCTTATTTCTTCCATCAGGCTTTTTAATTGCCTGGTGTAGGCCAGACAGTTTGCCCTGCCCTTTGGATGTGAGCACTGCCCTTTGAGAAGCTGGCCCGGGAGGATGGGCATGCTGGAAGCCACGTGAAGGGTGCTGAGTGGGAAAAAATGCCACATGACCAGGCCAGAGTGATTCTTGGGAAGGTTTCCAAATAGTGAGGTGGGGCTTTAAAAATGTCACTCCAACAGCCATGCGGTGTACGTGATGAGATGGAGAGGGCCTGGTGGCCAGGTGACCGGCTCAAAGGCATTTGCATTAAGTGTAGGCAAAAGGCAGCAAGGGCTCGGTTGCTGAAATTGTTAAAAGCCCTTGAGAGACTCCCCATACACTGAGGACATTTCCTTCTTTGGAGATAACATAATCATCCACTTCCCAGTGTCACAGACAGAGTAAAATAGGACTGTCACTGGAATCAAGAAGAAACAAATATAGGCTATTAATGACTCATTTGTTCTATTTCCACCCCCACTATTGTAATAATATACTTCATTTTAAAGTATTTTAAAGTAATTGTAAAACAATAATGGGAGTTTTTTCCCCCCCTTGAAAGCATTAGATACATAAATTACTACCATTGAGGTAGAACAGTTGCTTCCCTGGGGGATCTTAAATCACAGACGCAGTGTTCCAACTAACTTCCCTCTGCATTAAACACTAGTCTACATTGTCTTATGCATCAGGAATTGTCTTGTATTATGTACTTACAAGAATATAAAAGATAATATCAGGATATTTAAGTGTCATTGCCACACCAATATTTTTTAAAATATTTTTATTGATTTCAGAGAGGAAGGGAGAGGGAGAGAGAGTTAGAAACATCAATGATGAAAGAGAATCATTGATCGGCTGCCTCCTGCATGCCCCCTACTGGGGATTGAGCCCGCAACCCTGGCATGTGCCCTTGACCAGAATGGAACCTGGGACCCTTCAGTCTGCAGGCCGATGCTCTATCCACTGAGCAAAACCAGCCAGGGCCACACCAATATTTTTTAATGATGCTTTCAAAAAGGAAGTTCAGATATGTGTTGGGTAATTTGAAACAAATTTTAGAAATCTAACTCAAACTTTTCTCAAGTGGAACTTTCCTTAAAAAAAAAGTTTCTTATTTTGATATCAGTAAAGTTGCTCAGTTTGGGAGACGTCTACCAGAGTAGTATTTTTTAAAAATATGTTTTATTGATTTTAGAGAGAGAGAGGAAGGGAGAGGGAGAGAGGGAAACATCTATTGGCTACTTCCTGCATGTCCCCTACTGGCAATTAAGCCTGCAACCTGGGCATGTAACCTGACCGGGAATCAAACCAGCGACCTCTTGTTGCATAGGTTGATGCTCAACCAACTGATCCACACCTGTCGGGCCAGCATGGTTTTTTTATTTCAGTATGAAAGTCATGGGCAGACAGGTCCTCAGATCTCCTTGGATGGCTCCATGCGTATGTTGTTGTCAGTGTGTTTTCATGGGCTTAGCTAAGACTAAGAGATCCCTGGATGTCAGCCTGGGCCTTCTGTTTGTGAGCTGAGCCACCTTGCATGAGTCAGTTGACCTTTCTGTGCCTGGGTTCCCTCATTTCTGCACTGTTCCTAGTAGCCGTGGTTGAGACCTCGCTGTTGTGCTGAGGACTAGGTAAGCAGGCAGGTTATAGTACCTAACACATACTAAGCTCTCAGTAAAGGAAAGCTGCAATGCAAACTTTACTCAAATTTAAGCAATGTTTTGGAGTCTCTACTGATTGCCAATAAACCACTGAAAAAATCTGAAAGTAAATGAACATCTCTAAACACATTGGGAAATCACTTACACATTCAGCTAATTCTTAATTTTGTTTCAAGTTTTCACTTGAGTCCATCCTAAGTCCTGCCCCACTTCAATCCACTTTCTGGTCAGAGAAGTGTCTTCAGAAACCAAGGAAAGTTCTCTGCCATCAGATGGGAAGACCAGCAGAGAGGGTTGGGCCGGCAAGGCTTTCGCTGGTCTGGAGTCTTGGTGCCTGAGCCTCTCTCTGCTGGAATTGCTCTTGACATTTTCCAAGCACCACCATGAACCAAAACAGCCTCAGAGCTTGAACATTAATATCCCTTGTGACTCTATGATGCTAACTTTCAGCAACAAGCCAAAAGCTGTATTGATTGTCTGTTATGCCTCTCTTCACACACCCAGTTTTTAATCTTGTGTATTGATTCTTGTAGAGAATTTCTTACATTTATTGCCTCATTTCTTTTGGTAGCATGTCTTGCCATATATACTGATGGGTTTTCACTTTCTTTTTTTTTTTTACAATTGCCTCCCAGGAAAGAATTATTGAGCGCTTGAAAGAACAGCGGGAAAGAGATGATCGGGAAAGACTAGAAGAGATAGAATCTTTCCGAAAAGAGAACAAAGACCTGAAAGACAAGGTCAATGCTTTGCAAGCTGAACTGACTGAGAAAGAGGTGAGTCTGGAGAAACAAACGAACCATGTTGATAGTCCTCATAAACTCCTATTCATGGCAGCCTCAAGAGACTAAAGACTAAGTTTGAGGGCCTCTGTGAAGGCTTGGGAACATAGTTACCCTTCTTTGTAAAGCTGTCTGAATTCAAAGGAAAATATATACTGTAACTCTCTTCATCGGTGATGCTCAATGCAGACCTTCTCTACTAGCTGCATGTGGTGTAGTTCCTTGAAATTCTTCTTGATGTCTTGGTCTAGATGTCATTGTCCCATGATATTTTTGTTTGAGAGAACAACAAAAACATCTATACTAATAAAAGGTTAATATGCTAATTAGACCGGGAGACCTTCTGGGAGACCGGCCAGGGAGGGTAGTTGTGACTCTATGATGCATCAGGCCAGCTGGGGAGGGCAGTTGGGGGCCATGAGGCCGGCAAGGGAGGGCAGTTGGGGGCAAGAAGGCTGGTGAGGGGGGGCAGTTAGGAGTGAGCAGGCCAGCAGGAAGAGTGGTTAGGGGTGATCGGGCAGACAGGCAGGTGACCTGTTAGGAGCCAGCGGTCCTGGATTGTGAGAGGGATGTCTGACTGTCCGACTGTCGGACATCCCCCGAGGGGTCTCAGATCGGAGAGGATGCAGGCCGGGCTGAGAGACAACCACCACCCCCACCCCCCCGCCACGTGCACGAATTTCGTCCACTGGGCCTCTTCAATAATAATAACAGCTCCACTTTATTGAAGGCCTTTTGTGTGCTTACCTTGGGTTGGGTGATTTACATTCATCTATGCTTCTCAAATGGATCACTCAATACCCAGGTTAAAAGATATGGTACTAGGCTGGACACAAAGGTATAGGTTAAATGTGGCTGCTCTTCTGGGACATCATTTTCACATTGTGGTAAATAATTTAAAATAATATTTTTATGTTGGAGCAAACATGGAAACAGAAAACAGATCTCACCTGCATTTTTACAGTAAAACAATATACTTTAAAGAAATTTCTTGTTGGGGGTTATGGAGAGGATGCTTTGGGCTATAACCCAATACTCTTCAGTTTACTTACGGGTGCTTGGGGGAGAGGTTTGAGAAGCAGCAATGCGCATTATTCAATCTCCAAAACTCTGAGACATGCGCCATTGTTCATGGTCCCTTCACCCTCTCCTGCAGGGCTGTTCCAGACCTTTCTCTCTGCTGGGCGTCCTCACTGCAGAGTTGCTCATTCCCCAGCTGCAAACTGTTACCTCAACCAATGGGTTCTGATAATTCTGTATGAATCAAAGTACAGTCTAAATTTGGAATCCAAGAAGGGAAGAAAGGATGAGGAATAGGCGTTTAGAAGAAATTCAGAAGCAAAATTTATGCACCCTAAAATTTAAAGTGAAAATTTAAGTTTTTTTAGAGAGGAGATTACAGTTTTGATATGAAAATAAACAATGTAAATCCTCTTTCAACTCTATTTCCTGATCATCCAACCTGGGGATCTATAACTACTATAGTTGATATGCGACAGAAGCATAGAACTTTGCAGCATTCTTCGCCAATGGCAAGTGTTCTTTATGGGTTTGCAAGTTGAAATACACACACATACACACACACACTCACACACCCCTATTTGAAACGAGATCTTGATGACATGGCGGAGCATAAGTTTTAACTGAAAATAATTTTGTAAACAGAGCCTACTCTGTATGAATTTCAGACAGGCATTTCAGCAAACATTTATTGTTCCTGTATAATAATGTGCCTGCCATCGGGCTGGGAGAGTCAGTCAAACTTGCACCAGAGAAACAGAACTGTATTAAGAAATTTAACCATATTAAGAAATTTATTGCAGGGAATTGGCTTACCTACTTAGGAGGGCTGGCTCATTTTAAAATGTAGAGACAAGTCCAAAATGCATCAGGAAGGGCAGACTGGAGACCCTCAGAGGGTAGGTGACGCTGCAGTCCACAGGTGCAATTCCTTCTGTCTCGGGGAAGCCTCAGTTCTGCTCTTCAGACCTTTCAACGGAGAGGATCTGGCCCACCCAGATGATGGAGAATAATATCCTTTACTTAGAGTCGGCTGACTGTAGATGTTAGTCACATCTACAAAATCTCTTCACAGCAACAACCCAGATTAGTGTCTGATTGAAGAACTGGGGACGACAGCCTAGCCAAGTTGACACGCAAAGCTGTTACACCCAGCAGTTTAAAAGTTATCTGGAAAAAAACAACATGTAATTGTTGTCAGCAGGGAGCTTATAATTGAGATGGGGTGGTAACAGTCTTCATCAGGGCAGGATGTGTGGAGTATAAGGTTCTTTATTATTTCTGGTGGAGTGATCTGATAAAGAGTATTGCTATTGGAGTTGGAGACCTGGGTTTGAGACCTGCATCTCCCTTTCATAGCCTGGTGACATTGGAAAAGACACGTAGCTCATGTGAGCTTCAGTTTCCTGACCTGAAGAATAAGAATGGCTAACCTGCCCCTCAGATGGTTATGAGGAGCTGGGCTGCTGGCTGGGTGATGGTGGCAGTATTTTCATCAACAAGGTGATGCCAGTGCCCGGGAAGCAGCCCTGTATTAAAGTATCAACATCGTTTACTGAGAGAGCATTGAGTGCTTAGTGTCTCCCTCTGTGTTGCAAAGGGGTGTATAGGAAATGCACACTGATTTGGGTGAAACGTGAACATTTTAGTCACCTAGTTAGATGTTGCTAATGATTTCCTATTTAGTGATGGACATTGCCTCCCAGCCAGCAATGTTATGTTCTGTGATATATGTAGGCAACTACTTCTTTCTTTAGTTTTTTAGAATTTAGACTGTACAGGGAAGCCCTTGGTTTCTGGGTGTGAATGATGAATGGAACAATTTAGGTGACCCCGTGTCCGAGTTGGAGAGATTCATTCTATCTGCTGAATCTGGATTTACAGAGGACTGGAACAGAAAGTCTACTCTACATTTTAATATAACTTTATCTTCGATGACACAGAAGATGTTTGAAAATCCATTGGCCATTTGTCTGTTAAAGAAATGGAATTTTATCACAACTTAATAGGGTGTTTCTTTTATATGTGATTTTCCCTGAGAGGGAGGGTGGGAAAGCACTAAAGCTCGTATTTTCTTTCCTATTTGTCTTAGAGTCTGCACGACCTGACAGCAATAAATGTAAATGGAGGTTCAGGGTGTCTGTTTTGCCATGACATGTAAAGACCACCTCGGGACTTAGATCATTAGCAGGACTTGGAGACATGAAACATGCCTTTACTGACCACACCATTCGGTCACATTTGATTCTGTTGCAATTAGATCCTGCTCGGTTCTGTAAGCTGGCCAACTTTAATTTCCTGGCCAGAGCAGACTATTGTTACGTTAGTAAGACTATATTTACTCTTTCTGCCTAACGCACACGTTATTGCCATGTATAGAATCAATGTGTTCAAATAGAAGGCACCGCTGGTAGAAATGGCAGTGTTTTCCTTCCTTACTGGTGTTCTTTTTCTTTCAGTCTAGTTTAATTGACCTCAAGGAGCACGCATCTTCACTAGCCTCAGCAGGGCTGAAAAGGGACTCGAAATTAAAATCTCTAGAAATAGCCATCGAACAAAAGAAAGAAGAATGTAGCAAACTGGAAGCACAGTTAAAAAAGGTAAGTGAGGCCAAAGGGAAAAAAAAACATGTTCATTTTGTAATGAATTTATAAAATGGGAAAGGAAAAGAAACAAACCCCTTATCTTTCACTGTCTACTGATAACTTTATTCCTAAGAAGTCTGCATCAAATCTGTCTGTGAACCTGAAAAATTATCTTAGGTTTCCTGTCTGAAAAAAAATTTTTTTTTTGAAAAATACATGAAAATAGTAGTGGAAGTAAAAACAAAATATAAAAGCCAGCCATTACTCTCTGGGCAAATCTCAACTACGAAAAGAGATAAATGGAAATATTTGCAACCAACCAAAGAATCCAGGGCCCGATTATACGTTGATAAAGTTTTCCTACTTTTAGAAATAGGTCAGTTTTTCTATTGGAACTTTGCAAAGTTTACCTGACAACATTAAATTTCTAGACAGTCACCAAAAGAGTCAAAGTCCCTGGAATATCTGTGGGACGACTCTTTCTATTTGACCTAAACTGGCCCTACTTTCTGAGGAAGCTTGTTTTATGTGAAGGCTTTGGGAAAGAATGCAGGGTCTTTATATCGCAGTGTTAACATGTTTTCCTGGGCTGGACATTTCTGTGCAGCACATTCCCAGTCATGCATCGTGCCTTTGACTCTTTCCCTGTGTTGTTTGGTGCGTCTGCATTCATTGTTCACCTAAAACTCATAACATTATGAGTTTAAGCATTTTGTTTCCCTTTGACAACGTATAGACTTATTCAAAGGAGATGAGAAGAATCTAAAAAAAATGAAACAAAGCATATAAAAATTTGACTATGTATAATTCACAGCACATTGGATGGGGATTTATTTGCTGAAGTTATGAAACTGTGATATGGATGATAGGGATGTGAAAGCATTATATATATCTGTGGAGAAATTATTCTGGATACCTTAAAATTTAATAGACTATTTTATATGATGCAATATGTAACTGACATGTGATTGATTATACTATGTTCACTTTACCATGGAATTTTAGGAAATTGTCATGAGAAATTTCTCACTAATAAAGTCTCCTTACCAATACAGAAAAGCTAAATATACAGATCAAATCCCCTTGTAACAAAACAGCAAGAAAATCTCTATATTGCAAAATCTGTTTCCCAATCTACTCAACATCTCACTTTTTCCCCCAAGCAATTTCCACTTAAGCAGAAATCTTGAACAATAAATAGAAGAATTTAAACTGCCCATTTGAGGGTGTTTAAATGGAGATTGACTTGGCTATTCATGCAATGGGCGTAAATATACATTCTTGACACATATATACATGTGTTCTGCAATATGTTATACATGCACATGCATACCAAGAAATGTACTTTTTGTTTACCGAACAGTTTTGTAAAGTCCATAAAGCAGACTCTAAGATAACTCTGTGAAACAGGGGATGTCATTGGCTCTCTTTGATGGTCCTTCCTGTTATCTCATCTTCATCAACTCTGAGGAGCCATTTTGGAGATGAGGGCATTTCATACATTATTTCTGCAGATTATTTCTCTAGACACCCTCCCTTTTCATGTAAGTCATCTACGAGATTTAAAACCCTCTAGTAATGAATTAAAAGGGAGAGGTCCACATATTGATGCTTAAGATTTCCATGTATATATGAATTGACTCGTTTAATAAATCAGCATCTATGCAATTCAATTTTGTTTCTTTCAACATAGCTATGGTTTGACCGAGAAATCATTTCGAACATGTGGTTTCCTTTAACACACAGGAAGATGCCATATACTGAAATTCACTAATCAAGTTCTGTAAACATTTTAGCATTATTCCTGACAATATTTTAATATTCTGCCACATCACTAGAATTAAAGTAACAAATATGGTTGTCTTGCTCTAAAGGACTTACTTAATTTATGAAAATATAACTTATTTCTAAGTATATAAATAATCTTTGCTTATAGTATCTCCTAAATGCATAGTATAGTGAGATTAAATAAGTTAATTATAATTTAAATATTTTCATACCTAACCTGCAGATGCTATTTTGTTATTTTTGGCTCTCTAGCATCAACTAAATTCAAAAGTTTAAAATACTTTTTCTAGTAGTCTTTAATTTCTGCTAATAAATAGTTCTGTAAAAACCTCAAGTACCCATCACCTTAAAAAGAATTGAGATCTACATGAAATATTTGAAAATATAAGCCAACAGTATGTGAATATACATATAAACACATCATTTACTCATGGAAAAATAAGCAGCTATAAAAGCTTAAGGAGTGTCTGGGCCTCCCTTTAAATAAAAGGGTATGTGACTTGTGAATAAAATATAAAGGGTTACTAAATGAAAGCTGAAAACATAATAGTTTTATTATGTCATAAATAAACCATGAATTCCCAGTGGAATTTTGCTCACAATTTGTGAGTGTCCAGGTATTTTTGCCATAAAATCTACACAATGTAGATGTGTTTAGCTGAACAGAAACCTTGTCTGCCAGTGACAATGGAGTCCAAATGGTGATTTAAATTTGTCTCTTTTTTTTGTCTTATAAACAATTCTTGAAATTAGTAAAGTGAGTGATTATACAAAAGTTTGTGGGAAACATTCCACATACATAGTTGCTTTTAACCCTTTACTATACTGTGTTAATTAAATAGTTTGTGATGAAAAATGGTTACAGGCAGAAAAAGAACTATTTCTTACACATCCCATCCCAGGTCTTAAAAACAATGCAATCAAATGTTCTCATGTGAGGAAATCTCTACTGATAGGCTGATAAAATGGTACTAACCAAATAATGCAGAACTACTAGTTATGTGTGTGTTTTATAAACTAGTGCATTCATTAATCTTAAATAGACACCTAAAGGTGGAGAAGAACTGGTCAGGGATACATGGATTGATTTGTCTTTCAAAAGAGTATTTGGTGCTCGATATGTGGAAGCATATTTACCTTAGATAACTAGAAATCAATTGAGAAGCAATAGCAATGTAAAATGTTATGATTTGAGCTCTTTGTTAATTTCTGAGGAGGGTGTTTTTTTTAACCATGGTAAAGTTATTTACTTAATTAAAGTTGAAGAAATAAAAAAAAAATCAGGCTCTTCAAAGTCACATGTCTTAGTGTAAAGCAAAGTGAAAATTTCCTACAGTATTTTACCTTCTGCACCTTGCTGTTGGGCCCCAAGTTAATGATGCAGGTATTTGAGAACTAGAACTTGAGAGTACTATTTAAAATAATGTTTTGTACACTTAAGTCCACAAACATTGAACTCTCTACACAACATAGACAGGAGAGCATTGCAGATTCTTAAACACTTGGATCATAATAGGATAGTCACTGAAAACGATATTTTTTATTAATTACAAGCTAACAGTAAGAAATTGGTAATGAACAATGGATAATGCTGTTTTTGGTTCCCTCTGTTCTTCCTGCTGACTGAAATTTTTACTTCTCCCCTTTACTCTTAATCCTGTAATGTCTTGCTTACTGATATTTTGCTATTGCTAACCTGCTATTTGCTGATCTATGTTTTTCTAAAGTTAGACTGAATAGAAAATTCAGGCTTGTGTTAATATAAAAGAAGAGCTATAAATTCAATGATAAGATTTAATTAATCTTTTATTATTACCATCTTTGAAGTTCAGGTAATAAATTGCAAGCTTGGCCAAAAGTACTTCTCCTGATTCATTGCTAGAGGCCAGCACTTCATGTATCATCAAAAGTGGACAGCTTTCTTTATTTCATGGGTTATTTAACTTGAGAAAGGGAAAGTAACACAAACCTTAAATTTCTTATTCCAGCTATTCTTTTCTAGGAGCCAAAGTCAACATTTCTATTTCCCCAGAGCCTCTCACTTTCACTGTGGAATGTTTAGAAACTGAAATTTCTTCTTTTTTAACGACCAGTTTGTCTGTGCAAATGCACTGGATTTGTTGAGCTAATGCTGTTTTTCTGGATCTTTCCTTCTTTCCCTTGTCTGTGCTTCAATGCTTCCCCAACTTTGCAATGTAGCAAGCTGAGCAGTTGTTCAATCAGATGTACAACCCAGTAAGTCATTTCTGAAAGTTCCTGCTGTAACATATCAAAGCATGAGGATCCATTGATCACATGTCACAGTGTGCCATACTGGGGAGGTTTGGAAAATATTTATGAGTCTCTTCCCATTTCCGCTTTGTCAGAAGAAATGACCTGTGCACAGTCCACTGCCATTTCTTTTGAATGTGAAATTTAAAAACTAAGAATTCAGGGAAATGTTGCCAGCTTTGATATTACCTTCTTCAAGCCCAGGCTATAGAAAAGCAGAGGTCCGCTGCAGATCTAGGCTCAAGGAATTCTTTCTTAGATCCTTAAGTGCATACTCGCGTAGCAAACAAGTCAATGTGTGCTACATTCAAACGATAGACGTTAAAATAGGTTTAGATCTAAAAATAGGGCTATGCTCTTTGAGATTGGTAAATGCCTAACATTATTGTGGGTTTTATAAGAGTTAAAAACGTGTCATTTGGCGGAGGACAAACTAAAACATAGCCTCCTAATAACAACAGATCGTAACAGTTCTGATTATAGCTTAATGGTTCAAAAACAGGTGACTAGTAAAAATATGTGTAAGATGGTCAAGATACCATCACTGATTTATTTTATCCTAATGACAGGGATGCATTTATGAGAAGCAGTTTGTTTCTTTAACATAGTTTAAAGAAGGGCTTTTCTTGCTTTGTCAACTCAAGTTGCTTACTGGGAGACATATTACCTGAAGGTGACCAGACTTTGTCATTTGGCAGATGTGATCTGTGCCATCATGCATTCCAGTTACCTCCTATTTATAAATGCTCATCACAAGGAAAAGGAGTGGGATGGATGAAGGAAACACCTCAGCCCACCACTTTTTGTTAAGCCGCTGCTCCAGAAACCAAGGCATGACACACAGGATGCTGGGTGTCTTTCATTAGATTCAGGCTCCACCCTCCACTCTTTTATTTTTGCAAACTGAATTCCTCATGCCCTGTTAGGGGTTCTTTATTAACCTCTTTCCCCAAATATGATTTTTAGCGGAGCAGCAAAAAACATCCAAATTTCCTGTCCCTTAACATTTGAATGGAAGTTTTAATGTGCAGGCTCAAGACAGGGTGGAGGTGAGGAAAGACAAATAAGACTGGAATATCTTCAAGCCTGAAAACTGACCTGGAGGAAAAATGAGTGTTTTCTTTAGATCATTTAAAAAAGATATAAAGGAATCCCACTGAAATTGTGTCATTCTGGCTAGTGAAGGACAGTAAGGAAACCTAAGTATGTCACATTTTGAGGTTGTGCTGGATGCATGGGGAGCCCATGTGTCTCTGTAGGAGCCCAGATTTAACAGGAGCAGGGCAGGCGTTCACCATCCCTGGTGGGGTAGGTTGGCCCAAAGAAATAGTTCTGTGGACTTTTAGACCATTTCCAGAAATGTTGATGATGTGGCACTTACTGGACTTTGCCTTTCTTTCACCCCAGTGATGGGTCCCCAGGATGCAAAAGTGAACTTTAAGTCCTTTAGGTGACTAATTCTAAAGTCATTGACTGACTTTTCTCCCCCCAAGTTAATTAAGCTAACCCATTGTTTTGGCATCCTGGGAATATAGCCAAACTCTCATTATTTTAACTCCCTGTCTGCACATATTCTCAGGGTCCAATTCTTTTTTGGACTGATAGGGATGCTGCAGCATGATGAATTTCCTATCCTTAATAGTCTTTTAAAAAATGACTGTTTTTCTGGTTATAAAAATAATATATGGTCACAGTGGAGAATTTGCAAAAGTATGGAAGGACATAGGAGAAAAATAAAAATAACAAGACATCTCACTACACACAGATAATCACTAGGAACATTTGATTTGTTCCCAACCCAGACATCTTTTCGATGTTATTGTTCTCTTCTCTCCTCTTTCCCTTTCACCTTTTCTCCTTTTTTCTTTCCTCTTTCCTCTTTCCATCCCTTCCTTTTTCCTTCTTCCCCTCTTTCTTTTCTTTCTCCTTCCCTATATCCTTTCATTTAAAAAAATCTAATACTCTATTTCTTTTCACAAAATTGTCTCAAAGTGTTTATTGAGTTTTATATCCTAATTTTTATTAACATATCAGAATTTTCTCATATTATCCACTATTCTTCCAAAACACTACTTTAATGCTTATTCCACTCTATTTTCTCATTTGCCAAATGTTGGTCATTTCTTTCCTTTTCTCGGTGTGTGTGTGTGTGTGTGTGTGTGTGTGTTTGCCAGTATAAACAATGTTCTGCAGAACATCTTTCCATGTTAATTTTCCAACATTTCTGTTTTTTTTCATAGAATAAATTCCTGGCCAGTGATTTTAAAAAACTCCCAATAGTTCCTGCTATTTGCATTTTAGAAAAGTTCTACCAAGAAACATTTCTTCCCGCACCGAATCAGGCAGCCTTTTCTGCTACACCCGACCAACTCTAAGAACCATCATTTTACATAACTCTGACAAATGCATATCTGCATTTTTCATTTTTACTTTCCTTTTTAAAATTACTAGTGTGGTTGAGATTTTTAACACATTATTTGTACTTTTTTTCTGTAAAGTGTTCCTTTAAATCATTTAAGCATTTGTTTTTTAGTTTGCTGTTTTATTAGTTTGTATGAGTTATCTTATGCTTTGAATAGAACCTTTGTTAAATTTGTAGCCAAATTTTATTTAACTTAATTTTTTTTTCATAGAGAACTATTTTTAGGTTTTTGACCTGTGTTTCCCTTTTAGATTTCCTCATTGCCTTTATACTTAGAAGTCATTGCTGATTTTAAGAATAGATTCTCAGTTATATTTAAAAAATTTTAATGTTACTTTTTACATCAATTTAACCCCTTTACTTACCTTTATTTTATTTTGATGCATGGTGAGTGATGAGGTTTCAATTTTTTTATTTTTCTCAATGGATCAACCAATTATCTCAGTGCCCTTAAACAAACAAAAAAATCTTTCTTTATCTTCTGACCTGGACACTATTTTATTGTATAATTAGTTTTCATATGGACAAATATCTTATATTCTGAACTCCTGTTCATTTTACCACTGTCCATTGCTTGTTGGGTCAGAATTTTAGTTATTGTGTCATTATAATATTTTTAAACATCTAGTGAAACAAATTCCACCCTATTGCTTTCTGCTTTTCATTTTGTCTTGTTTTGTTTTAATGCTCTTAGCTTTTAATTTTTGATTGTTCCAAGCAAACTTTAGGATCATCTTTCAGTTAAAAAGCCCATGTGTTGGTGATTTTAATTTGAATACTAATCAACCTATAAACTAATTTTAGAATGTTTGATATCTTTCCGATATTATCTCTCCCCATTCATGAACTCAGTACAACTTTTATTTATTTCAGTGATCTTTTATAGTAAAGTTTTGATATTTTTCTATTATAGGCCCGTGGTATTGCTTTTAAAGTATAGTCTTAAGCATTTCCATATATGTAATTTTTAGGTTACTGCTGTGAATGCTATAGTTCTCCTTTTATTTTCTAACCAGCTATTGGTACCTATGGAATTAATTTTATTCTTGTGTGTTTCTTTTTAATATGGCCGCCTACAAATTTGGTGAATTATAACTTAGTTGTTTTTGTTAAATAAGATAATTTTACAGTCAGTCCTATGTCCATCAGTCTAAACTAAATCAGAGTAAATAAGGTTTTTTGAAGTCCTCCTGGGGGTAATGTTTTCTTAGAGTAGCAATAAACCTACTTTTAAAAACCTTTGTACTAAGTGATACTCTAATGCCATTTCTTAAGAATCTAAAACTTTGCCTTTGTGTCTTTATTATTTCTTATAATAATAACCTTTCTGTAGCTTAACTACCAGTCTCTACTCCCAAAGTAGTTTTGTCTTGTTATTATGAACACTGTAGGTTATCTTCAGTTGAGTTATTTTCTTCCCTTAGTTCTTAATTCTAGACAGATAATGTGTGTGTGTGTGTGTGTGTGTGTGTGTGTGTGTGTGTGTGTGTTTACCAGTCTGGAATACCTTCTTTACAGTAGTCCTAGAGGCTGTTGTGCCAAGTGATGGTATCCTGAGTTCTCTTGTAAACGTTTAACAAATCTTTAGACCTCTCAGTCCTAAGTTTAATGCTTTGTATAATACCCTCAATGCTACCAGGCAAGTGACTGATCTGGAGGCACTGGGGCAACCTTGCTACTGGCCAGGGCTCACCTGAGACGCCTCTGAGGTTCCCACACGCATGTGAGTCCCCTGCCCGATCACTAGCCATTGAAATGCTCTCTCTTCTTTAAATGCATCTTTTGCAGTGCTCACATTTTACAGAAGTCTTTAAATTGTTAATGTTCAGTGAAGTCTTTCTGATTTATTTGTCATTATAGGACTGTGTAATCCCAGGAACATGCTGGGCTGAATTATATATACCTTCACAGTCTTTGTCTAGGTACAGTAGTTTCTTTTTATGATTTTTAGTCTATTCTTGAAATTTAGTTTGTTCACTCATAGACTGGCAAATCACAACTACTTAAGAGATAATTCAAGATGGATAATTCAGGACATACTCATAGCATGTACACACACACACACACACACACATACACACACCCCTCACACTTGATCCAGGCTTTCAATATCTGAAGAACTCAAGTAATATTTGAATTGACACTTAAGATTTGAAGTTACATGTTTTGTTTTAGAATATCTAGGTAATTACCTCAGTTCTCTATATTGCTATTTTTAAGTGATTTCTTAGTTAGAAGGTATTACCTTAGTAATTATTTTTGTTTGTTTGTGTGAAAGGTGTAAAAAGTATTAAGCATACAGTTGAGTCTTTTTATTTTGTGTATGTGACATCAGAAACATTATTTTGAGCATGTGTTTATGTTTATTTATAAATATCCTATTTGTCCCATCTATAACAAGAAATGTCTTTTACGAATAGTTATAACGTGCAAATTGTGAACATTCTGGATGTATTTAGCTGGATTTGTGAAATAATACTTTTCCATAGAAGTAAATAGTGTAAGACTCATTATTATTAGTTTCCAAATGTATTATTTAGTCTCAGCTATTAATTCATTAGACTTAAAATTTAAAATTTATAATATGTTAGAGTTGTATAATAACCCTTAAAACTTTATTTAAAAAAGTAATATTTTGTTCATAACTCAGAGTTAAGTGAACATTATAATATCTTTTAGAAGAGTGAAATAAAATATGTTTAAAGTAGTTTGTGCGCCCTGCTCCACTGTTAGGATATGAACAGCATGTTAAAGTGCTGTTACCAGACACTAAACCCCTGTAGGTCCCACAGTTGAGAATCATATTTTCACAGCGCATACATTTAGCAAATTATTGCTACAACCCATAAACCGCAGGGAAGACACACGAGTTACTGTTCTGCTTGCACTTTATGGTCAGGACTAATCATTTGTTTGAGAGAAAGGATTTTTTATGAAAATTGTTGGGGCTCATTTCAAAGAGAGAATGTTATATAATATTATAATTGAATATTCCCTGCCTGGTTTCACAGCAGGTTTCTGGACCAAAGTTAATACTTCCCTTTCCAGGCACTTGGAATGTTGAACTACCACTTTATTGAAAATAATCAATGGCCAAACGATACATGAGGAGTGTCAGTAAACTTGTAATTTGTTGTATTGATACTATCAATCCCTGGTTTGGCTTCAGCCACTTTTTGCTCTTAACTTTGATTTAGATATAGCATTTATCTGAAATTTTGCCTTATTCCCTGAAATACTTCTAAATTCTTTCGTGAAAAGAACCCCTGGGTATTGTTATGTACCACCTGTTTTAAGTCATGACTAGATTTCTCTCCTGTGCTTGATTCGAGCTTTCAGATTTGGCTCACGCCCACATGCCAAGGCTTGCCCTCATCAGTAAGACTGCAGCCTGTATCTTGGTTATTCCCGTTTATGGGGAAATTTCCTCCCTTGTGGAAATTCAAGAAACATAATCAGGGGACCCTCTGAGCTTGCTGGTCTAATATGTCATATGGACATTTCTGAAGTGTTCTTTCCTGAATTTTCTCTGTTCGTATACAATCCTTAAGAAGTTGCTCTAGAAGTTACCAGAAATATTCTGAGGCAGAACTGGGTACCTGGATTTGCTCTTAAACTGAGCTGTGTCTTCAGCAAAATAAAATCTCTACTGTTAGAAAAGAATGCTCATTGGCAGTCCCTTGGTTTTAATGACTGCTGAGTAGCTTTGAAAGTGATAATGTGCTTGGCTATATTTATGATAAATAAGTCCTGAGATCATTAAAGGAAAAGCCACACCAATCTGCATTTTCAAGAGCTAGATTCCTGACTAATGCTATGCCTCCGGAGAATGAAATGGGCAATAGCTTCCTGGCCTTTTGGGGGAGCTAATTTCAAACCAACAGATTCAGTGGGGAAAATAAATACTGTACATTTTCATTCTAAACCTTGAATTGGTCAGAATGCCATGGTAGGGATTGTTCAGGTAATGCTTTATTCAAATATATCTATTATTTCCCCCCCGTCAGTGTCTAAAGTACTTTAGGCCCAAATCTGTTATCTACTTTAGATCCCTACCAGGGGCTGCCAGTCCAGATTAGACAACCCATGCCACAATGTGAAGAGGCAAGAGTATTACCTAAATGCAAATAACTGCTTTCTTCACTCCCTTTTTGATGAAGGTTCTGGCCTTACACCTTTGAAGAAAGCATTGGCTTTCCAAGCTCAAGTTCTCCTGTATTTATTTAGTATAGTATCACCCCTGTGTCTGTAGGCCACAGCCTAACACGCTCATGCTATCCTGGTTAACAATTCCAGCCCATCCTCTAAGAAGGTGTGATTCGGGCTGAATAGAGCTGATTATCTGAAGCATTTCTGTAAATCCCATTGAGACTTTTGGCTCCAACGCTCAGGTTGGGTTGGGGACTCACCAGGCTTCAGTCATATGGACCCCTCTCTTCCCTTTTGTGTTTGCATGGACCCTGGTGGTGACCCAGGAGCAGCTGTTCCTCTCCCATCTCTATGGGACTCTTTCTTACAGCTTTCTACTGACTTGAAGTTTTAAATGCTATCAGTTTGCACCTTTATTTAATAACCCTTTCAAAAATTCTGGCACCAATATTGAAGGTGGTTTGACATAAATTATTTTGCCCAGAAATCAGTAGATATTGATAGAGATGGATAGATGTATTTAACTCAAATATATTTTTGAGGTTATCTATTCCTTTTAAAAGGGAGAATCATCAGCACCCACAGGTATTGTCTCACAGACACCCAGCCAGCTGTAAACTTGGCGTAGGTTTTCATTTTAATAACATGATCTAACTTTAGTACCACACGAGGTCAACACTGGTCTAGATTTATGCATGTTTTCCCCTTGGTTTTCTATACCTCTAAACATCCCATGAGTCCTCTAACCATACCCACTTTTGGGGTTGAAAAGACTACCAGCCTATCTAATTTCACACCCATGTTGAAAGCTAGCCTTAGATCATTTTCTTCTCTCTAAGGAACTAAAATTAGGAATGTGTTCATAAACCTGTTACCAGCAGCTTCCTCTGTGAACCTAGCAGCAAAGCTTCTCTAAGGCTTTTTTAATAGCTTGTCAATGAAAATTAATCAAACCTATTAACAGCAGCAAAGCTTCTCTAAGGCTTTTTTAATAGCTTGTTGTCAATGAAAATTAATCAAACCTATTAATTTAGCTGTGTAACAAGCCCTACTGGTGGGATACATAGCATAAAATAATCATCATAATAAAAACAAATGAATAATGCCTTTCACATGTTTATCATTTTGTAGTTTTCAATGTCCTAAGAGAGGCTAATTTATTTACCTACAGTCATAAGATACAGGGCAAGATTTAGAATCTAGATCTTACAACTAGTAATCCTATACCCACTTATTAAAAATTGTGATAATAATAATCTTAAGAATAAAAACAACCAAAATAAACTACAGTGGCTGACTTCTAGCTCTTTGTGTATGTTTAAATCTGAGTCAAGAAAGGAATTTTAACTTGTCAGAAGTAAGCCATCAAAACATATTTATTCATTTATTTGAGTGTTTCTAGCTGCACATTACTCATTTTATTATTTTGTAAAGATTTAAGTTATTATTTGGGTAGTTTGAGAAAAATGTCATGAAAAGGTTTTTAGCTGTTGAACAATAATGGTAAGATACTATAGAAGTAGAAGAGAATTAACATAAAATTTTGTTAGCAATTTAAAAACTTTATTATAAATATTTTTTGTTACAAGACTAATGAGTTGATTCTTAATATCACAAATAGAAGTAGTTATATGGAGTATTTTATCTTATCTATTCTACTTTTAAAAGGGGAGATTAACAAATGAAAATATTCATTACTGTAATTTAAAATAGAATTATTAGATGAACAAACTCCTGAAGATAAATTTGCTTAGTATTCCTTTTCAGATTATTTTAATTATATTGAAGTATTTACTAATCTATTAAAATGAAACCTAGTATACAAACTAAATAAATGAAAAATAAATGTTTTCTAAGGAATGTTGGTAAAAGGGGGTAAGCTAGTCCATGATAGTATGTTGAATTGTTATATTTTTCCAAGATCTTTTGTATAGTCAAGTTTTTTTCTTGAATAAGGAAATCTTAAGGAGATTCAAAGCAAATTATTCACTTTCTATCCTCATGCTTAAATAATATGTTACATGCAAAATCTTATTCTAAAAATGATTATTTTGTCATAAATAAGAAATTTATTTTATGTATACTAATTTTTGAATTTTTTTCTACTAAATCATTGCAAAGACTGTCAACCTTTTAACAGTAGTATCAGTATTAATTTTTCTAACCATGCATGATTCATTTGACCCCACAGTAGCTGTAGCTTGCTTGCCTTGTTTTTTCCCTGAAACTAAAAAAAAAAAAAAAAAAAAAAAAAAAAGGTGTATAAAAACACAATGAGCACTTGCTCTCCATAGCAAGACAGCAGAACAACTTCGTCCTAATAAATTGTTAACATTTTATTTCACACATGGATGTTGGAGATACATACATAGATGACTTTCTATGTTGACTGTGCACTGTTGTTAAACAACTTGTTTTTTCCTTGCCTGCTCTTTGAAGAAGCCAATTAGGAATGATGGGAAACAAGGGGTAGGCAAAACATCGCAGTGCAGTGTTATTTCCATCTGTCCGGGAATATTTCAGCCAAAAGTTTATTTTGGGAAAAAAAAAAAGCCATAACACAGTCTCACACACACAAAACCACAAATACTTTGGCTGCAAATTATTCTGCAGTGTTGTTGCTGTGTTGTTGCCGTGTCTGTTCTCGTGTGTAAAGCTGCCACCCACCCATGCATGTGTTTGCGATTCTCGTCTGTGTGCTTGTTCATGAACTAGCTCCTCCTCCTCCTGGTTCAGGTTAAGTTTAATCAATAGAGCAAGAATTTATGGGTATGGCTGTTAGCTGGAAAGCCCTTCCTCACGTCCAAGTCTTCCGTTCAAACTGCATCTTCTGCTGTTACTTCTCATGGGATGAAGTGCTCAGTGATCAGGAAGCCAGTCTCTTCGATGCTGTCTGGCTTTGCATATGCCCTTGATGGTTTAATATTGTTTTATCTCGGTTTCTCTGTATTGGAAAGGAAACTGTTGGTATGAATCACTTTCTAGAATATGAGATAATAGTTTTAGTTCTGCTTGACAAATGACCAGGTAGCATCGCAGTCTCTACCCCCACCTCCCCTGAGATGTTTGGTGGGCAAAAAAGCAAAAAGTAGCTATGTTTAATGGAATAAAATATCAACAATAAAAAAAACTCTCCATTGAAGCTGTAATATAATTTAAAATCAGCGTTTTTCTAAGATAGCTGACGTGTGCGATTTTCCCGTTTTGCCTTTCAACTGACAGTATACCCATAATTCTTGGTGATTATTATTTTGTTCTCCATAGTTAATTTCTGGGCCATTGGTGACTTCACTATCTCTTGTTCTAAATTGTTGTCTTAACTCCATTCTTTAAAAATATAATATTGAAGGCTCATAATATTGAAGATGACTCCAGGATGAACCCCGAGTTTGCAGACCGAATAAAACAGCTTGATAAAGAGGCATCTTACTATCGCGATGAGTGTGGCAAGGCCCAAGCTGAAGTCGACAGGTTGCTGGAGATCCTCAAGGAGGTGGAGAATGAAAAGAATGACAAGGACAAGAAGATCGCGGAACTTGAGAGGTAAATGTTGCAGTCATGTTGTGAATTGCCCACAGCGAGAGAGCATCTATTGCTTAGTTACCATCTCAGGGCACCGTGGCTTTAGAATGCACATTCATATTTCAAGTCAGAAACAAGTTACGTCTGATGAATATGGCCTGTGTGTAGCACCAACATTATTTAGGATGATGTTGGGTTTCTCTGGGCTACTCAGAAGGCATTTGGCTTATCTTTTGATGACTTATGTACTTCTGAAGTGTTTAAGAAAATAGTGGTCTGGCATTGATGCCAGCAAAGTGTGTAAGAAATTAAGGCTTTGACTACCTGAAACCTCAGTTGTTGTTTTTTTCTCCATCAAAGACAAACATTTGTGGTTTAGGTTTGTCTCAAGCAAAGAATATGGAAGATTATACGGTAGTTGGGAATTCATTCAAGATTGGAGAAAGGAAAGGAGTTCCAGTGTTTCTTGGCACACAATGTTAAGTTCATCTTGGGGTTTATCTTTTAAGAGGACCTTATGACATTTGGTAAATAAATACGTTTGAAGAGGGTCTAAGGCAGGCCTACTTGATAGCAAATTCTGTCTAAAAACAAAGAAGGTTATATCAGGGTTCCAGAGTATTTAGATTTTTAGATAAATCATGTCCATATTGTATGTATGTATAGCAAGGACTGTAAAAATAAGCTTTCCATCAGTGCTTTTTCCTGTATTTCATATAAGGAAAGAATTTCTGAATAATTTTACGTAACTCCATAACCTTTCAGGATTCCTTATTGGTTCAGTAATAAGGAAGAATTTGTCTTTCCTAGATTCAGTGCATATGGAAGAGATCAGCCAATTTTGAATAAATCCGTGAGTGTTTGCCAGCTCTGACCAAGACACCCGTGCGGGCCCAACAGACTTCAGGATATATGCAGAATAACTCTCTATGGGGTGTGGAAAGATCACAGTCTTTAGCAACAGAAAGCCCTGGGTTCAGATTTTGCCTCAGCTTCATGCCAGCTGTGTGACCTTGGATCTTGTTAGAAGTGTGTCTCTAATAACCTTTTAAAATGTATCTCCCTAGACAGTTTGGCTCAGTGGATAGAGCACCAGCCTGCAAAACAAAGGGTCCCGGGTTCAGTTCTGGTTAAGGGCATGTACCTTAGTTGCAGGCTCTTCCCCGGCCCGGGCCCTGGTTGGGGCTCGTGCCGGAGACAACCAATTGATGTGTTTCTCTCACATGGATGTTTCTCTCTGTCTTTCCCTCTCTCTTCTACTCTCCCCCAAAAAATCAATGGAAAAATGTTCTCAGATGAGGATAAACAAAAATAAATAAATAAATAAATAAACAAACAAACAAACAAACAAACTAATAAATAAATAAATAGAAGTGCCATCCTTTGTAGGTATCAATTCCCAGTGTAAGATAGGATGGTTATATCATTATGAAAAGCTGAATGTTCAATAAATTCTCAATATTACCTGGCTTGGTATTAAATGGACAGATTAGTTCTCAATAAAATTTTGACATTTTCAAATACAGTATTAAATATATTCGAACTTCAAGTCAACTAATAACCATTTAAAAATCTTAGCATTAGTCTGGTAATAATCTGATTTTGATTGAATGAGACCAATTGTAGCAATTAAACCAAAACTTTAATTTCCTGAGTTAAGTGTACAAATTAAAAAATTTTTAAAGGACTTTATTTTAATTTTAAAATTTGGAAATGTTCTGCCAGTTTACTGGTTCTTAAGAACACTGTTAATTTTAGATAAGTCTACATGGCTATTTTGGAACTACATTTTAGGACCAACCCAAGGCCCTGGCAGGTTGAACAGACTCTGGATTGGCCCGGTGGTCAGAGGGACATCATTGTAATGTAGGTCTCTGGACCCCTCGTCCACCGCTCTGGGAAGCAGAGCTCCATTGGGAAGATGCCTTAGATAGTTATACCGATGATATTAATTTATAATAGTAATTGGAATCTCAATAATAGGTTACGCTAATCGTGTATAAGACGCTCTTCTAAGCATTTGACTTGCAATACTGCATACCACTACATCTTACCCACAATGCATCCCCATTTTCTAGATGAGAAAACTATGACTTTATACAAATTAATTAATTTCCTCAAGATGGCAGAGTTTATAAGAATCAAAGGCTAGATTTGAACCCAGGTCTGACACATGAGTGACTGACTGTGTGTAGCACCAAATAGTCACTCAGCCAGCAGAGAGGCACCGCAGCTGGGACACGGGAGGTCTGCCTCATCTTTATTAGCTTTCATGAGGGAAACTGATGTGCCCCACATTTAGAAAGCATTTTTCTGCCCCAAACCAGCTCTCCAGAACTGTAATTGAAAATCAGGATCAGCTACTATAAATATTTGCATAAAAAAGCATCATCGTGTGGTGGACAAACAGGTCTTAGCTGGACGCTCTGGCCATTAAATCATCAAGAGTCTTCACATTTTTATTTCCTCAATATGGAATGCATTAAGACAACAGTGATTTTACAGGCATTTATCTTTATGTACTTTCTGCACATTTTCTTTATCTCTGCCTTTGCCTCTCCTTAAAGCTGATGCCTCCCAGGCACTGTAATTCATAAAACGTGTGCTGGGACTTGACTCCGTCCCAGCTCTCTGCCTGCCTGTGTCTTGGGTCCAGCAGCAGAGCACAGTCTGGGAAATGTCTGAGCCCCAGCCTCAGCCCAGGCCCCTGAGGAGTTTGGGGGTGGAGATCAAGAGGGGAAACATCTTGGGAAAAGGAGAGCACAGCCTTGGCCTGTCTCTCTGGAGCCTTATCTGCTGCTGTAAAGGCTACGTGTAAATTCCAGCCACGCATCTTCCTCGTCTCGTCAGGCAGCCCTGTTCACATTGGGCAGTATCTCCATTTGCTGGCTTAGGCTGCCAAATTCATACCTCATAATGTTGGGAACTAAAGATTTCTTAGCAATGTGACATATATCTCCATTTTGGAGTCACGGAGGAGTGTTTGCAATTAAGTTTGTGATTTTGAAAACCAAGAAATTGAACTTGAAATAAATTTGTGGTCTCCGGTCTGTAATGTGACCTACCAGAGTGAAAAGGCCTCCTTTTCAAGGCAGCTAGTTTCTAAAATACCCCAGAACTTCAGTCGTGTGCAGCAAGAGGCATGGGGTTAGGAATAGCTCAACGACTCTGACACTGGCCTGCTTCTCGCTCCGAGGGCAAGTCCTGCTTGCTTTCTGTTTCGTTAATCTTCCCACTTTTTATTTTCTCTATAATGTATATGTTCCAAATAACACATGCCCGGCACTTACATGGGTGCCTCTACCTCTTAAATTCCACGTGAGTGATGTTTTCCATCAGCCACTAAAGATGTTGCCTTTCAAAGTGCATATTGCTCCAGTGTGGTCCCCGTGTGCAGTTCTGCCATAAGCCGGGCTCTTGATCCCGATGGTTCTAGCAGGGAGCTGCTGCCTGGGACCACAGGCTGCTCTGGGGAAGTTTGGCACAGGGTGGTTGGGAGGCCTTGAGCAAGTCCCTGAGAATTGAGGTCCTTATTCAATCACCAATGCTAGATATCATGTAGGCTATACAATGGAGTAGCTAATTGAACATTAGAGACAGTGAAATAGATAGCCTTTCTGTATTAGTGCCCATCAGGGTCTTGCAGTTTTAGTTTTGAAATTAATCGTTTGGTGCTTTGGGGAAGGAGAGAGGTGAACAGAGTCTGCCAAACAAGCAGCTGACCCATGGGAAGGAATCAGGCAGGTGCCCTTTCATGTAATTATCTTAAATATGTTAGGGGCTTTGCTGGTATTTGTCTCAAGGACAGGGATTGCCCCAGTCAAGCCATCACTCACATCCCTCCCTACTGTGGAGAGGAGGCTGGCTCCCTCGGTTCCACTCCTAAGACAGAGCATCAGAACAGAAGCCCAGGCGGCACTCCATTATCTGGGTCAGGACCAATGCCACCTGATGTTTGGACATTGAGGCGTCATTTTAGGTGCCCACAAGTGCCTTATCTAGGGTTGAGAAGCTATGATTTTTTTCTCCTGAATTTGTTTAATAATGTGCTGACATACTTTCTTTGATTCCTTTCAGAACTCTTTTCACAAAATGTAAACTTAAGCTTTATTTGTTTATTTTTAACTATGATAGTGTGTTTAGAAATCTCCTGGTACGTGGAAGAAACGATACCAGTTCTATTTGTTTTGGTATAAACTCATCTTCCTAAGTAATTTCTATTTATGTTTGTTATTATATTTGCAGAACTTTCTTTAAAATAAGCGGCAGGTGGTTTTACACCATCCCTAACAGCCTTTGGGGGAAGGTCATGGATAGCATGGATCCTTTGAGAATTTGATGAAAAGTAGGAACCCTTAGAAAAATCAACTAAATCTTAAATGTTGGCTTGCTATTTCAGTTTAACATTCCCTACAGATTGACCATGAATCTCAGCCTGATACACCTCTGATCCAGAAGAATTTGAAACAGCAGCTGGGGCCAGCATCCCCAATGTCCCCACACTGACCATGGCCTGACCCATCTCTTACGTTCGAGGAGTTGTGCGTTCATAATTACAGAACACGCTGCAGGGGGATTTCAGTTACAGGAATTACCAGATCGATGCTTTCACCATGTGCTTAATCTTGAATTTTTCTCCTTCATGTTTATCATGACAGTCAATGCTGTTTTCACGGGAGATGTTCTTGTTTAAGCTTTCTCCTGAGGATTTGTTTTGTTTTTTCTTCCTGTGCAAATGCTTAAAGCTACATCTTAGTAGTAGAGAATGGTGGGGTCCCACTGAATAGAGAGCTGGTAAATCCACTTTGCTTTTTGCCGATGGTATTTTACAGGTTAACAAAATGAACACCCACTGTGTGCTCCTGAGGTAGTCTGAAGGGGGTCATGCTATTTTTTCCTTTTAAAGTTTGCTTGACATTAGAGATTTTATTGTTCTGACTGATTAGAAGGGCACGTTAAATATTTTTGTACAAATAAGCGGTCAAGCGTGTGGATATATATTGTCAGTGATGAAGTACGATTCTCATTTTCACAACTGAACAAAAGTACTTTCAGCTTTGGAAGGGACTCTGTCCTTTCTGGGGAGGCTGATGGGCCCCTCACCAGAAGCCTTCCTCGTGGCGTCTTTGATCATCGTGAGGTGCAGTGCTCTGTGAGCATCTCAAATGGAAACCTTTGAACAGAAAGCCGAATTGCTCGGCTCCTTTTTTATTTTTAGGGAGGAAGGAAAAATATCTCATAGGATATAACCATCCGACTTACTGGTTCAAATAAAATCTTTCTGACATCAGTGCTTACCGCCCACTCTAATACCTCAGTAATTTCCATTTCATTTTACTAAATAATGAGAATTGTATATGCACACAGATAGGAACTTTTTAAAATATTCCTCCAGAAAAGAGCAAACTCTGCCACTGGTTGCCAGAGCACACCTCTGGCTCACGTCAGGGCCTGTGGTGACTGTGGGTGTGAGACCAGGTACCTGTGTCCTAGGTATAATATTTAGTATAACAGCTTATGGTGTGTGCCCACAGCTTTTTTTTGGGGGGGGGGGTTAATATCTTGATAAAAGTTGCTTTATTGTCCTTCACTTGGTTATAAAACCTGCTAATATAACATCTGTTGGCTGTATGTTTAAAACTAATGCATTTCCTTCCTTTTATTCTCTTTTGCTATCCCTTTTTCTTTCTGCTTATCCTCCAAATTGCTGCTTTCACCCTTGCTCCAATCAGCTTGACTTTCAGGTTAGTACTTTCAGTTTTTCTTCTAACCACCTTTCCCTCCTAAGCTCAATTTACTGCTTGCACTTGTTTAACAAACACATTTCTGAAATGGTTTTGCTCAGGCCACCACATTTTTTTTTCATCCCATGCCCAGGGAAGGTTTATTTTATGAGAAGGCTATATAAGTGGGAAAAGGCAAAGAAGAAGATGGAAATAAATCACTGTTGGATTATTTGATACATTCTGTTCCTGGATTATAAAATCAATAAGAGGAATCCTCAGGAAAACTCCCTAGTGCAAAATTGACTGCATGGTGATAAAACATGGAGCAGTGGAAAAAAACAAACGCAGGATGCTAAATTTAACCTCGGAGAATAGAACAAAAGATGTGCCCGTGACACAGCAACTTAAAAGCCAGATTTAATAGTGCAAACCATTGAGACTTTTCGCTTAATAAATCACTGTGTTTTGAAAGATTTATAATACTTTTTTAAAAATCACTTTTGAAAATTATCAGTATGTTCGTAACATATTGTACACACATGTTATTTCCTGTCATTGTTTTGGTTTTTAAATTTTTAGCTTTCTTTTTATTAGCTATAAGACATACTTTAATTACCTACGGAATAGCATATGGACCCAAATGTAAAACGAGATTCAGTGTGGACTGTGTGTACCCTAATATTAAGATGCAAAATGGACATTTTGTTTGAACACACATCCCAGGTTTGGTTCCTCTAAGAAAGAGGGCTCAGGTCAATAATTGGTTCACCTTTAAATGAGGCAAGACTTCTCTTTTTGATACTATGTAGAATTATCTAGTGATTTCTTTATCATTGAATCGATGAGTTTACTAAAAGATGCTCATAGTATGATTTGTGCTACCTAGACTTTACTTTAAAAAAAAAGGAGTCACATTAAGTTGATAGCCGATGTAGTTGCTCTTTTGAAAGGCAAGCTATATTATTTTCTTCTCCATTCTTCCCTAAATGCACCTCTTTATATCCTGTCCACTGCTCATCACCAAAGCCACCAGACCAATGCATTTACACCAGCAGCAAACGATTTCAGAACGAGGCCTCCTGCCCACGTACCAGTCTTGTCCTGTTGCCTGCTCCCAACCCCTGTGCCCTGTGCCCTGTGCCCTGTAATCCTTGCAAATGAACCCCCTCCTCTGCTATTCCCACATGCCACATGGGGTGAGCCCCAGAAACTGCCTTGAACAAAGTCACACTGAAGGAACCCGGGTCTCCGTAGTCCCCCACACAGAGATCTAAACAGAGACTAAAAGCACAGCCCTGCAGAGCGGCTCTCACCAGAAACCCAATGACTGTTGGGTCCCTTTCTGTGCCTCTCTGTGCAGAAACAGACATCACACTGTGGTGGGGAAGGAGAGGCTTGGCCATGTGCTATCCAAACCTTGCCTCCAAGTTTTGGATCCGCTCCTGTAACGAAGCTCTACGCTTTCCTCCTTGCCTGTCTTTTTTGTTTTCTTTCTCCTTTGCCTTCCCTTCGCTACCCTAGTCTGCACCTGTTGATATTGAGGCCCTGGAGACCGGGGACCCCTTTCGCTGTAACAGATTAGGCTCCCTGCCTGGGCCTGGAGATGTGTCCATAGGCGTTCTGCTATGGTTGTTTTCCTTTTTTCCTCCAGCAACTGTACTTCACGGTGTTTAGCTCTTTCCTATTTCGTGGGGAATGAACTCTGACTCTCAGAAGACAGGATGCAGGGTTAGAGCCCGAGTGGTTTGTAGGTTACGGGGATTCTCCAGACCAGGGGCCAGGTGTGCCGAGTGGGTTTGGTGAAGGGTTCAGCCAATCCCCATTGGGTGACTGTATGTAGTGGGAGAATCAAGATTCAGATAATTTCGATATCATTTAACACCCTGACCCAAATGCACATGCTGGAGAAAAGGTACAACCCTTGTAAACAGCCTCTAGTTTTATTTTTAGTGGAGGGAGAACCTGGTCAGCCCCACTCTCCTGGAAACCAAAAAGTCTGTGGAGTCTTGGAAGCATTTTTGAGCTTTGACAAGTTTCCAGGGTTAGCTATGCTTTCCTTCCAACCACTTCCAGGTTTACCAGTTAAAGTAAAACGAAGTGTAACAAGGGGTGAATACAGCATCGCTAGCCCATGTGCTTTCTCTACATGGCTCACAACTGAGATCCATCCATATATTTGTGTGTGCATACATACAGAGATGTTTGTGTGTATGTGTGTGTGTGTATGTATGTGTGTATACATTCATCATATATTTAAAAACTGAAGTCTGATCTCTCTTACTGTAGAAGTTTGTAGTCTGCCTGGTACCTCCCTCTCGCCCAATCTGAAGTTTGAAAACTTCACTACCTCCCGGATCTTTTCTGTGTGCAGTGGGCTCCATGGGAAAGTCTCCCCTCCAACCACTTTTGTAAATGGCCTCATTTCCTTTTCAAATTCTATGTAGACGCTCATGCTTCGATTCGGGTGGACAGCTATTAAGTATCGGGCGTGGTAAAATGCAAATGTCATATTCTCACCCTGCCTAGGTTCTCACTGCGGAAACTGCACCGCGGTCCAGCCACCCCTTCCGCACAGCGAGGGGGAAACCCGAGAGGCTGAAAGGCTCCTGCCTGTGCTCGGGGGAGGGTGTGTGTGACATGTGCTCATTTCTAGGAACTCCTTGTGAGATTAGTGTGCGGCTTATGACAATGAAGTTATCTAGATAAATGTATGCAGCACTTGACAAAAAAAAAAAAAAGAAGAAGACGACGAAAAAGTATCCTTTGGGAATCCATTCAGAATCCTGTCAGAGAATCAAGCAAGTAAAACCAGAAGGCTCAGGCCTCTCCAGGGCTCTCTCGGCCTGCAGTGTGCTCTGGGTGCTGGGCCAGCTGCTTCCTGTTTGTGCCTCAGTATCCCCTCTCGGAGAGGAAGGGGCTGTCCCTGGAGCCAGTCTTATGGGATCCACAGTGCACGTGTCTGATGGGCCTGGCGCATCCCCCCGGCGAGCAGGCTCCGGCTGACGGCTGGCACCTGGCAGCAGGCATGAGCTCATTGTTACAGAGTCACTTCAAACACTTCTACCAAAATAAACTCTTTGTGATGCTTCCCCAAAGCTGAGCCCTGTGCTCTCAATCCCTCATTCTTCCAGCAAAAGATGAAGTCACTCCTCCCGGACCTCAGAGGCCTGCTGCCCAAGGAAGTAATGAAAACCATCTTGCCCAGGGATTTGCTCTTCCCAGGGTCTTTTTTTGGCCCCATTCCCTCCACGAGTTTGGAGTGAGCACCTACTGTGTGCTAGGCTGAGCCCTACCTGCAGGCCTGGCATTTCCAAAAACTAGCTGCTGGAAAGTTGATGGAGCTGGTGAAGAAATGCTGCATGTTGCATCCTGTTTTGTGTTCACGATGCACACTGATGTGGCTGCTGATAGAAAGAGCAGCAGTCATTACAATGAGCATGAGCTAAGGGCCAGCACTGAACTCATCACTTCTTATGTAGCATTTGCTTCTCATGACAACTGCATGAGGCGGGGATGTCATTTCTTCCATATTAGAGAAGAGGAAATGAATTCATAAAAGCTAAATATTTTGCTCAAGTTAGTACAGTGTGTAAGTGAAGGTGTTGGGGACCCCCCCTAAAGCCATCCTTCCTGATTTAGGGATTGAATATTTTGCCACTTCAGCCCCAGTTGCATAGTAAAGTCTCTGATAAGGCCTGTGCATTTCCCAAGTATGTGTTCATAGACTCCATCCCATGAGGCACTTTGTGGAGATACCGTGAGATTCATGCCTGTCCCCAACCCACCTCCCAGCCTGAGTTGGTCTCTCTTTGTTGCTGCTGTTGATAATTCTCCCCTGAGGATATTTTTTTTCCCTGTGTTTTTTTTTTAGAGAGAGTGGAAGGGAGGAAGAAGAGACAGAGAGAAATACCAATGTGAAAGAGACACATCGATTAGGTTGCCTCCCACACATGCCCCCAAAATGCCCTGACTGGGGTGGGGATGAGCCTGCAACCGAGGTAGTGGTACGTGCCCTTGACTGGTATTGAACCCCCAACCTTTCAGTCTCTGGGCTGATGTTCAAACCACTGAGCAAAATTGGCAAGGGCCAGAGCTGATCTCTTGTACCCAGATCCTGCCCCTCCAGGGCCAGCTCAGGTGTTACTCCAACACCAAGCCTTCTCTGAACCCCCACCCCCACCCCCCGCCCCCTGCAGAAGCAATCTCTCCCTTCCTTGGTACTCTCAGCGTGCTTTCTGACCCCTTTTCCTGCTGTCATACCCTCTCTCAAATTGAGATGGTTAATTAATGTATCTTCTCCCTAGTAGACGCTGCCTCCTTGAATTTGGATGGGTCTCTAGCTTGATGCATGTGTGCCACCCACTGGAGTGGCAGGTCATACTCCTGAATGTTGTTGAAAAAAACTGTTGAAGAAAGGTCCCTGCATGAGCTCCTCTCACTCCTGCCACCTTTATTGGGTCCCCATTGAGCTTTGTTGGTGGGTTCTTTCTGGAGGCCGAGCTCACTCCCCTGGACATCTTTTTTTTTTTTTTCTCCAGAGGGGAAGCCTTAAGAAAAGATATGATTGGTTTTCTATCAAGCTGGATGCTTGAAAATTCAAGAAAAACAAATCCCAAGTAAAAGGAGAGGGAAAATCCTGCTGAAGTTACCCATTTCTCTCACTCTCTTCTGTCTTTCCTTCCTTCCTCTCCCCCTTCCTGCTTCCCTCCTTACTTCTCTCCCTTTCTCCTGTGCTCCCTCCTTCCTTCCTTTCCTCTCTCTCCCTCCCTCCCTTCCCCTCCTTCCCCGATTCTGCACTGAAATCCTTCTCCATGGCGTGGTCTGTGCTGGGCTTTGGGAATATCGCAGTAAAAAGACATAGCCTCTCCCCTCACTGAATTCAAAGACCAACACTTCCTATAAGGAAGGATTTGGCCACTAAGAAAAATAGTTTTTCCCATTTATACTAATAACTGGAAAAACGGGGTTTCAGGTGTTTTTGAAAACTCCTTTTTCCTGTTGGGATTGAGGGGTTATCC